CGTTTAATATAATTTTCAAGTTATAGGACTTGAACTTCACCTAATTTTCACTAAATACACTTGTATTTAGTCCAAGTGAAAATTAGGTGAAGTCAAGTCCTATAACTTAAATTCTCGTTTCTAATAATATTAACTTTTTGTTTTCTCTTTATATAACAATACAATCATTTTTTATATTGTCAATTCAGATAATTTTTCCGAGGTATTTACCTGTACCTATAATATGCACCCCTCCTTTAGTAGGTTAAATTAGGTTAGTATATGAAAATGCAACACGAGCGGAGCGGGCGAAGGGGTATGCAGCGGTGGTGACTGACGAGCGCCAGAACTAAATTACTAAATTTTAGGTCAAATTTATTTCAGTTCAATAATCTATTTAGTTATATGTAAACTGAGGTTTACAATTTATAATTGTTATTTAAAATGAGTGTTAAGGTTAATGATTGTGTTACTGAGCACCACTTTTTATCCAAACATCAGTTCATGTTAAGCTTCAACAATCACCAGGTGGCTAGTTCGTTCAGCAGAGAAAAAGCTATTCATGGCGGCTCTTTAATTCTTATTAAAATAATTTAAAATACAAAGAACGTTCTGATATTGTGAGTTATTGTGAGCCTATCTATTGAGCGGACTATAGAGATATCCTGCATAGAGCTTGAACGGCTTGTTGTATTAAGCGTGTACAGACCTCCTCATTCATCTTACGAATTATTTGAAAAAAGATCAGATGAAGTTTTAGGCAAATTAAATAATCTAAATAAATATATTGCTGTTTGTGGTGACTTCACTGTTAACTTATTAGAAGATTCCAGTGCTAGCAATAGGCTCATATCATTTTTCCAATGTAATAATCTTGTGACTCTTTTCTCGGTGCCTACTAGAATAACTTCTACTACAGTCACTTGTTAAGACAACATTTATACTAACGCCGACCTAGTAATAAATCTATTATAAATAAATTAACGTCTGATCACTGTGGTCAATTGGCCACTTTTAATATAACTGTTGTGCCAAAAAAGGATATGATATGTGTTCTGATAAATAATGGTCGACTTAAAGCTTATAGAAATAACGTAATGCTTAAACTAACTGGCATTCCGTACGTTAACGATCCCAATAAACTATATAATTTAATTTTCAACATAGCGAAAACTGAACGTGATAATGTTTTTAAATTCAAATTCATAACCACTAATTCATTGAAATTTAGTGATTGGGCGACAGTGGAAATTCATAAATGTAGATAAAGGCTATATGATATTTTACACATAACACTAGTAACAGTTTTGATGGTTTTGTTAAGAAGTATTCGAAAATGTTTAAACGTGTTTATGTTGCAGCCAAAGCAATGTTTATAAATAATAAAATCAAAAACAACGCGAATGTAGTAAAACCGATTTGGAATATTATAAACAGCGAAACTGGAAGGGTCAAACCTCGTAACTTAGAATTTAAACTAAAAGATTTAATGACAAAATTGTAAACATAGACTCAGAAGTTGCTAAAATATTTGAATTTTTTTCCAATTTTGACTACTAAGTCGTTAAATTTATCCCCCACCGCCTCTGAATCCTTACTAAAAGAAAATAATGCAGTTAGTATTACTAATTTAAGGTTCCGTCATGTATTTTCAAACGATATTGTTAAAGCGTTTAAGTCTATAGACATAAAAAAATATTGCTGACCTTGATTGGCTTTCAGTCAGAGTAATTAGTTTTATAGTTGATTGTATTGCGCCTTACTTAGCCTGTGTCTTTAATAAATGTGTTGATGATGGTGTGTTTCCTGACCTCATGAAGCAAAGTAAAGTTATTCCACTTTTCAAATCTGGTAGTATGTCAGACCCCACCAATTTCAGATCTATTTCAATACTACCAACGCTCAGTAAGATCTTTGAAAAAATTATTCTAAATCACATTGTGCACATTTTTATAGTAA